TCCTCATTTACTGCATTAACCCTCAAGGTACTGAGCTACACCACATCAACATACAAAGAAATAAATATGCATGTGTGATTTACAAAACAAAAATAACCCTCCTTCTTTCAGGTCTTCTAGATAACGAGACACCTTCTGCTTTAAATCTGGCCCAGAAAGTGAGAGGTTTTGCAACTAAGCCCACCACTGGTTGCTGGAGTCCAAGGGCAACTGAGCAAAAGATTCGTGACAGCATCACTGATCTAAGAAGCGTGATAATGTCACAGGGGGACAGTGAAGTTCACAGCATCTACGAGCTGGCCGAGCTCACGCAAAACCTGCAGGTAATTCATAAAATCAGCCTCATGGAAAATAATGCTTCCCAAATAATGAGTTTGAGTCTGTGCTGTGATCACCACAACAGATGGTGAAAAATCAATCATGGGAGAAGAGACGGGAAGAATCAGAAAAGATAAAAGTCAAAATAAAGGTTTATATCCGAATTATTACATTTATTCACAAGTGTAGCAAAAACTAGAACACAAAGTGTCTTCAACACAATAAAATGAGCTCCATGTTTTATATTACTTGGCAGACTTGCAAGACCTCAAATAGCAATCTGCTGTTTTCTGGAGATCATCACCCCAACAGCAGGCAGGGTACAGATACAATGAAATGTCTACAGGACCAGCTGAGGCAGGAAATGGAAGAACATATTACAGGTAAAATACTCAGATTCAAAAGTCACGGTTCCATATGGCTAACCACAGCCGGCGTATTCTGTTTGTTTCTCATATTCCCAGAAGGTAAAGAGAATGCAGAAAAGGTCCAGGAGAGAGTAGCGAGAATCCAGCAGCTGAAGGAGGCTCTCAGGGAGGAGACACTCAAGAGTGGAGCTGCTACTGGGAATTCCCCTGCCTGTCAACAAGTAAAGCACATCATCTGGCATTACAAACTCTAATTTATTACAGATCATTTAGAAAATACTCAGACCCCTTCACTACTTGAATACCCTATGATGTAGATGGGGAATATAGTCCCACATATGCTGCAGTGAAGCATATGCATAGCACGATTCTGCCACTGAAATGCTTTTCCTTGGGGATGAGATGAGCAGTGTTACTCTTTTTTTTGAAACATCTGAACTCAGTCCTTTCAGTGAGCTCCAAGCAAGTAGGTGTTTGTCTTTTATGCACGACCAGCTTCCATCTAGCCTCTCTATAGGCATGATGTTGGAGTAATGCTGACCTTCAGCTCACTTCGGTTGAAACACCAACTCATCAAAGTTTTAAGCTTCCACTTCAATTTGGCTCCTGGTAACAGTTGAAATGTTGGAAGATGTTCGACACTCCTGCCCTGATCGACGCAAGTCTACAGCGAATTTCTTGGACTTCTAGGTTTTAACCTGACGTCCAGATTTGGTTTTCCGACAACATGTTAAAATGTGCAAGAACAAAAGGGGTTTGGGCATTTTCCAAAACCATGCATGTGGTTGGATAATGCAGTAACAAGGCTGAATCAATAATCTTTTCACCATCTAAAAATTATTTATGTGCACAAGAGTGGGCAGCCCACACAACGGCATTTGTTTTGCCAATTTAATGATTAGTCTCAGTTGGAATACAACAAAGCAGAGGAACGGAGGAGGCAACTTAAGGAGGATCATGGGAGATTAATTCAGCAGGAGGTGGAGAAGATGGAGAGAGACTTGGCACAGGAAAACCTACCGGTGAGATAATGAGATACACTAACACTATTCTGTTTGTGATCCATCTTAACTGAGGTTGCTGAGTCAGTTTGAATTAATGCAAGGCTGGATTTATGGCAGGCAGTGGAATTCACTGTATAATTATGTTATTTTCTTGAATAATTTTATGGTTTGTGCATTCCTGTATTAGAAAGAAGGTCCTCAGAGGGACTTGCTGGTACTGACCAGAGAGAGACAGGTCCTAGTACTGCAGATAGAGGCCTTGCGTGCCGAGGCCCAGCAAGCTGAAAAAGACCTACAGGATCAATATGACAGACACCGAGCAGAGCTGCACTGTCTCAGGGAGGAGAGCCTGCAGGTGGGAGAAATAACCATGATTCAAATAACAGGACTTATTCACATTTAATCAGTTTGTTACTTTCAGCAAACTCATGTCTGCCTGAACTGCCTCTGAAATTAAAAACACCAAAGTTACATTTCTATCTTCATAAGGACGATCAGAATTTGTGACTCAGTCTTGGAAATCAATACCATGTGTAAATTTTTAGCTGTCATCAATTCGTCTGGATTTCCAGATTATTTAAGAGAGGTCGTAGCTATGCATGTAAATATTGTTCTTCTCGATAACTACAATTGCGTAAAACACAAGCTGACATTTAACTCTTTGATTTAAAAATGTGCAACAAGTTTTATAGTAGCTGAGCTATCAAATACAAGATTTCCCTTTAGCTCAAAAGACAGTATCTATATCCTAGCGCCTGTTAGCTAACTTTTGATGAAAGGTGGGGGATACACTCAGGACAGGCAGCCAGGTCATCACAGGGCATGACAACACATAGTGATGACAAGTTATTGTAAACATGCGTATGAACTTGCCTGTAAATGTTTTATGGAAAGTTAATCAAATTAACAGCAATTAAATTTACTGTATAACTTTATTAAAAATATGTATCTTTGTATGGTTGATTACTATATTCCTGTATCCGTTAGGATTTATGTACAGTAAACATCACATATTTATATTTGGAAGCACTGCCATAGACCGTAATACTCTGATGATGGATAATGCAGCGCTGACACATCCCCCCCGAGTGATGATATTTGCTGATTCAGCTGTATGAGGAGGGAGGAGTCACGTATATAAAGTTCATATTTTGCATCTTTTCCTGCTCTTAGTACTTCAGACTTACATTAAAATTATTAAGCATTTCGCCTAGTGTTGCTGTGTGTTGCTATAAACATGGCAATTAAGAATGCAAGCGAGACAGACCATCGTGACATTTAAAAGAGTAGGTTATTCCTACAGAGAAATCCACAGAAAGAAAGCCACACATACTCAGAAGATGAGTTTTTGAAGTTAACAGCTTGTAAGGCAGCTTACAAGACCACAGTTTGATATTGATCATAGTAAGCAAATACCAGTTTTGACTTTAAAGAGAAGACTATGCTCTATATAAAATGACTTTGTTAGCTGCTTCATAAAAATACTTGTATAAAGCTTTACTAAATGAAATCCTTTCTACATTGCCCCCCTGCTGTTATCTCCCTAGGTGTTCAGAGTGTTTCGTCAGGTAGGCGAAGAGCAGAGAAAGATTTCAGAGGGCAGATACAGAAGTGTGCTGCTGGAAGCGGTGCAGGATGCCATCTACTTGTCTGCACAGAACCAGCAGCTGCAGGCAGAGAATAAGCAACTCCGTAAATGTCAGTTTGAAATTATGTAACCTTTGCTAGATGTGTGGTTGTATAACTAAATGCTTAAAAAAATGTTTTTTTTATTTAAACAGCAGCAGCAGAACTGAAGGATATGCTAGCTGCACAAGGTGATCCCATGGCTGATCCCCCGTCAACACTGAATGTGTGACTTGAATGTCTTTACGCAGCAGTGTGCGGACTGTAAATCATGAGAAATAAATGTCAAATAAAAAAAAACTATTTTTTGACAGTTTATTGGTTATTAAAACACTGCATAACACTTTATCTCTGATGTTGTTCTTGGCAGAGAAGGTGATAAAAAATGAAAAAAAAAAAAAAATAGCAGCAGTCATTGGAAATAATTCACTCCATATAACATTTGTTTACTGTCTGATCTGAATTTACTGCAGTGTAACACAATCGGAAAGTCAAATTAGGCAACATGACTTAACAGGTATGAGCAATATGGTCACAAACACGTGTTGAATCCAAATAAAAAAAAAGAAGAGTTTCAAGTTTCAGATGGAAGATAAGGCATTAAAAAACCCTAAAAAACAAAAGTTTAGGTAGCCTCCACTGAGAGCTTTTGTGGGGTCAAACTGTGCTGGTGGTTCTTTTATTAAAGACTGCACTATCTGTAGTAAAGGTAAGCTGCCAATCCAATCATAGCAACAGGTACTGGGAATAAAGCAGTCAGCTGCAAACCTAAGATGGACCAAGACAACAGAGCATTAACCAGCATGGAGCAGGAAATGACAAACAGTCTGGTGATCCCACTGCCATGTTTGAGAACCACAGACATCAGGAGTCCATTTGCTGCTTGTCCTGCAATGATAACCCAAACCACCCACGAGTAGCCTTCCAGAAAGCCTTTGTCACTTGCCGCAGAGGAAAAAGATGACAGTCCATTGATTACCACACCAAATATATAGAGGTAGAGGTTCTGTAGGCTCAGGGGAAGCTGCTGGCTCTTCAGTATCCCCTCTGTGTAAACTGCTGCCAGCCCTGAAACACAGCAGTACACCAGCACAAGGAAAAGCCCCCAGGCTGTGATATGAAGCCTTTCAACTTCCTCAGCTTCACCCTTTTCAGGTTCCTCCAAATCCAGGTTACTGTAACTGTGGAACACGCCTGCAAACATGAGGAGCCCCAGGCCTAACCACTGAGCAGGCCGGAAGCTCTTGCCCAAACAGAGGGAGTAAAGCAGGGCAGTGGAGGCAATTTTAAGATTTGACAGTACCTGGAATGAACTTGGGTCCATGTAGGCCTGCATCAGAACAACCAGGTTGTTGTTGAGGGCGTAAAGTATAGCAGGGACTGCATAGGGTGCCACGAAGGCAAGGCGTGGAAAAGCACACAAGTTTGATGTACCACCAGTGAGAACAAGAGTCATCAGAGAGATGAGCAGTTTAGCTAACTCAATCATTACAACACACGAGGAAGGGTTAAAAGGGACTTTACCATCTACCTTAGTGAGAGTGATGAGTGGTGCATGAGAACCATAGATGAGAACCATAAGCCCCAAGAGAAACCCCCACCTAATTCTTTTCACCAACTGCCTCTTAATCCTTGCTGGGGGACTGGGCCCCACATTATCAATCACAATCATAATCGATGACACACAATAAATACTTATTTTCCAACAATCTGAACCTCAAGCTTTGATAAAGTGCATCAACCCCCCCCACTTAAGGTTACTTTGAAATGACAAGCAGCAAATTACAGCCATTTAAATGGTAATTGCACAATAGATAGATATTTCTCTATGTAGCATGTTTTAGCTGAACAATAAAGATGTAGGAAATATTTTCAATTGTTTTTATATGACTACTTCAAAATCTGACAGGTGTAAACAGCTGGACCAAAACTAAGACAGGTCATGAAATATAAAGGCTCAAGGTCAGGGTTAACATTGGACAGATGCAAGTGGAACAGTAGCATGTAACTTCCCTCACAACAAAAATGCAAGAAAAAAAAGAAGAAGCAAGAATTCAGTCCCCAGTAAAATTTGAGTTAAATGTTTACATCCATAATTCAGTCTACGCAAAAGTCCTGATCTATCACGAGCCGGGAACTCCAAGAGTAGTACTTCTGTAAAGTCACTGGAAAGACAAACAGTCATCCCAGATTACTTTGGTCCTTTCTTCAAGTTGTTCATGTACTCCTTAAAGGTCCTTTCAATGTTGGGCACTTGATAATTCTGCGCTGCATACATGCCAGTGACTGTTCCCAGCAGTACTCCCAGGAAGGCAGATGAACGTAGTCTGGCCACCACATAACCGGCCAAAAAGCCTTTCAAAAATGGCGATCCCAACACTGAACCACCCTACAAGGCAAAACAATATACACAAATGAAGATATTTCATTAAGGGTAAATATATATTCTGCATAGACCACAATCACAATTTAGCTTCCGTTAGTCTGAATGAGTGACCAGTATTCACTTTTATTCATCAGTCGTAATACAACTGCTAACGGAAATGCTTTACATTTACAATGATATACACTCTCCGGTCACTTTATTAGGTATACCCACTCAACTGCTCATGAACACAAATATCCAGTCAGCCAGTCACATGGCAGCAACTCAGTGCATTTAGCCATATAGACGTCGTGAAGACAAGACGCTGAAGTTCAAACAAAGCATCAGGGTAAGGAAGAAAGGTGATTTTAAGTGACTTTGAATGTGGCATGATTGTTGGTGCTAGGTGAGCTTGTCTTGGAGATTAAGTATCGGAATTTCAGAAGCGGGACCACGCCTCTATACACGCTCCTTTCGGTTCTCACCTATTTAGGTTTCCCCAGTCCGACAAGCTGTTTGTTCTCAAAATTATTGTCAGTTTTGTTTTTGGTATTTTGAACTATACTTATCTGTTGTGTCTCTGATGAAAATGTGGGGAATGGATGACTTATTACAGACAAAATCTACCTACAGGTAGACAAAGTATCTCAAACCTGATGTCACAAAGCTCAAATCATGTCAAACTGGTTTCTTGAAAGCCACAATGAGTTCATGCCACTTAAATGTCAGCTGATCTCAATGGAATAGAGCACCTTTGGGACGTGGTGTGACATTTGATCAACAAATCTGATGCTTACATGTCAAGATGGGGGGGAAAAAAAGCTGTCAGTAATGTTTCCAGTAGCTTGTTTAATCTGTGCCATAAAGAATGGAGACAGAAAAGATCCAACTCGGTAATAGCATCATATACCTTATAAAGTGGCCACCGACTGTATATTCCTACAGCAAGATTAGACAAGGAGAACGTGCTTCAAGGTACTGACCACTTATCTGGGACACTTGTAATAACTTACCTGGGGAATTCCTGCAGATACTTCGTGATCTACTCGCCTCTGGATCTCATCCAGCTGATTTTTGAGCTGTGTTAGATCTCTTAACTGTTTCAGAGGATCCTGTAATAAAAGCAGTTAATCAAATTCCCATTAGAAATGATATGATAGTTCGAAATTAATCTACCCGAGGACAGGTGTCAGCCTAAACTTGTCTCCAGCGGTTTTACGAAGAGCACATTTGTTTTTTTTCCAACAAACTCCACACTTCTGTCGAAGTTATCACAGCTACAAGCGGTAATACTAAAGCCGAACAATTTCATGTAAAAGTGATCCCTACCCTGTTAAAATAAACGCCAAAATAAACGCTGTTAACAGAAAAATATATTTTATTGTTCTAGCAGTCGCTAACATACGATGAAGCGCACAACATAAAGCCTGACCACACTCTCTCACTAACCTTGTCATCCGCCATTTTTGCTCGGTGCGTTAATCGGCATTCGGCTCATAAGTCTGTGCTGCAGCTGTTTGTCCGCTCGATTGGTATAGCCTGGAAATCAATGCTTTGCAATACGTTAGTTATACAAATGGAAATTTGGTGCTGTTGGCAGGCGTATGAGAAAGTACGGTTAGAAAAAGTTTGGAGTTTTCCTTCCATATCGCTGTAGTGCAAAGTTATGAAAATCATTGTCAGGATGCACGTCATTTAAACTTTTCAAATGCATTTCTTTGGCTTTGGGATTTATGGGGAATATTTAATTTTTAAATGCGTCCGATTTATGTATCCCACTCAAAGCCACTCTCTACCCTGTTATTCTACTGTAGCCCCTCTAGAGGCATTTAACCGGAAAACAATTGCGCTTGCTTGTGTCCACAAGCACTACTCCGTAGGACGCACACTGCACTTTCACGTGGCAAAAACGTCTTACGTGATTGGTTTAATGTATACATTCTGGCATGTGATTGGTTAATGACAATGGCAACAAACCGCCATCTTTTTTCATGAGACGACTAGCAACGAGGCTACTTTACACCTTTACTAGCGTCGTGAAATTCTTTATCTAATGTAAAGAACGGGCAACACGTAGCATTACTTAGCATAATAACACAATGCATGGACATTTTCGGCGACTTCTAAACGTTGTTCAGAGTAGTTTGTAGTACCTTGGGCCGTCGTAGGTAAGACTTCAATAAGAAGGCATTTCATTGGATAACTGACTGACCGTGCGGGCAGTATTAACACACGCCATTAAACCTACCTTTAAAACGAGGAAGGAGCGGTGGTTTTTACATGTTTGTTTGGTTTAGTATCTCTCTCCCTGAGCAATGTGGATAAAAGTGCATGGCATTTTTGCAGCGATATATTCAAATAATAACCTTTAGTCACACTCCAGTACTTTTATTAGTATTATTTTTCATTAGTTATAGCCTTTATGAGCACCTCTGCTTGCCTCTCATCACCCGAGGAAAGGAGGTGAAATAAACTTTATGTCAACAGCACTGCAGTTACTATGTAAAATCACCCTTGTCATACTGTTCAAACATTGTGCCCGCTAATGATTTGTGCCTTAGTTGCATGTTATTGTGTTATTAGGCATAAAATAGCTAAGATGTGCAAACATGGAATTTCATAAAAACAAATTTGCAAGTTGTTTCCAATTTGAGCTTTAGAATTTACTGCATGCGAACGAGATATTGTATTCACTCGTCTAATGTGTGTTTTTGTCAGTTCTTATCGTTTGTGTTTTTATTTACAACTATTTTACTGCTCTCTTGGCAAGTTAACTGCCGAATAAGAGATCTTTATTCTCCCTGAGACTTTTACTTGGTTAAATAAAGCCTAAATGCTTCTATTTTTGGTGCTTCCCTTTTTGAAGTGAAGTGGAGATGGGTACGCTTTGACACAACACCCCTGCAATAAATTCCATCTTCTTGACAGTTCAAACATGGATCCCCTGCTGTGTGTCATTTTTGTCCTAGATCTTTGGAAACATGGACAAAGTGGAGCTTTTTGAGGTTGTTAAAGTGACAGAAGAGGTGGAGAGTGCCTACAGCCAAATGGAGGTGACATCCTTTAAAAAGAGGAAGAGCAAACCTCAAGATGACAGTGTGGAGAAACCTAAGAAGCCTAGGTAACATGAATAAAATGGTTTTCAACCCTTCTCTCATCACTGGCTGAGCTTCAAAGGCATTAAAAATGTCTTAAAAATGTCATGTTCTAATTGTAGACTTGGAATGTGTTGTCTGCCTTAGGTCTGCCTATCTGCTATACTACTTTGATGTTCACCAGATTATGCAACTCGGAGTCTCTAATATGCCACAGTCTGAGATCAACAAGCGTATCAGTGAGAGCTGGAAACGACTCAGCGTAGCTGAGAAAAGCTACTACCTGGAAAAAGCCAAGTTGGAGAAGGAGGGCATAGATACAGTAAGCTGCAGTCTCAACTTTTTTTTTTTAAATGTAAACAAACCAGCGTATCGGATTAGCTGAGAAGACCATATTATTTAAATCCATTAATCTGTAGATTAAACCTTCTTAAACACTTATGCTAGAATTCAAAACTGGCGCACTTTCACCTGGCAATATGAGTCTGTTACAAATAAATTAGAAAAATACTTAGTTCAATATATGGGAAAAAAGATTTAATTTACATTTAAGACCTTCCTCAATAGTATTTGACTATCTTTCAAAATATGTATATATTCCTACATAGTGAACAATAGTGTCAGAACGTTGAAAAATGTCTGCAGCCTTCATAAACGCAGGTACATAACCTTACTTTTGCTATATGTGAACATGCAGTCATCCTTTGAAGTATACAAGTCATTTCCAAGGGACGACTTACTATGATCGTAGAATATGATTTTATAAATATAATAGGAGGGCCCCATCACTGCAGCCAATCACATCATGAAAAACAATCACTTTTTATAACTTCTAAACAGTGAGTGATGTTAACATTTTCAGTGAAGATCTGAGAATAAATCTAGCATGTCCACAGATATGCTAGATCTCTTTCTCTTACAAGGATAACAGCTTGTGAATGTGAGTGTGAATGGTTGTCTGTCCTTGTGTGTTAGCCCTGCGACAGACTGGCGACCTGTCCAGGGTGTACCCTGCCTCTCGCCCTATGACAGCTGGGATAGGCTCCAGCGCCCCCTGCGACCCTGAAAAGGATAAGCGGAAGCCAATGGATGGATGGATGGATGGATATCTTCTTTGAAATATCAGCTATGAATCAACAAAAGAAACCATGTAACCGTGTTTAGCTGGACGTGAAGAGTCAGAATTTGTTACTATGGTAACTGATTCAGATTTTAAATTACTCCTGTTTTCTGAACAAAACATCCAGATTTTCCCTCATCTGAGTTAAAAAGTTCAGTAAAAACTTAACAGTAAAAAGTATTTTTATTATAATAAATAAATGATGTTATTCCTATTTATTCTATTTATCCCCTTTGTATATTTTATTTATATTTGTCTCTGTATTTATATATGTGTGTGTGTGTGTGTGTGTATATATATATATAACAGTTCTGTAACTGTAACTTCGGTCGTTGCTGTGCTTTTTTTGGAAGTCGAATTTCCCAGAGGAACCCACCCGAGGGATTAATAAAGTTCTATCTTATCTTATCTTATCTTATCTTAAATACTGTACTAGTAGACACTCTAGTAGTAAATTAATCATTATTCCACAAAGTCAACCTGTCTTTTTAAAAACATTGCCACTGGTAGACAGCTGATTAAAAAGCCCTTCCTCCAGTGAGATTCATTTATTTCCTTTATCATGAATTCTTTTGGCCATAAAAAAATGTCTTGATTGTGCTTTTTCCTCAGTCATCTGTTAGTCTCTCCAAAGATCTGCCAGGCTTCCGCAAAATCCTACCAAGAACCAGTTACTTTGTATTGTCCAAAGGCTGCTCTTCAAGTCTCCAGCCGGGAAGCTCTCAATCAGAGCTCAGCATTGAGTCTACGGAGAATCCACCTGAAAATGGCTTGCCCTCAGTCTCCCTTATTCAGGAACCCCGGTTGACACCTTTAGGGTTGGCTGGTAAGGTTGAACTCTCTGAACACCCCATTGTTGTTGATGAAATAACAGGGGAAACAGCAGTAGTGTCACCTGCCCTCCAAGGAATTCCACCCACCTCTTCCTCCTCCTCTGTCTCACCGAAAGCAACAGCTTCTGGAGACTCCAGTGTCTCACAGAGCTCTGGTGACTGTATGGCAAATCGGGTCATACTGAAAGGAAATGAGGCAAAAGCTGGCAGTAGTAGTTACAGTGCATCGATGGTGCAGCAAACACAGGGGGAAACCACACAGGTGGTGGCCATCATACCCACCCAGGTACAACCTAAATGTCCTCCATCTTCTGCCAGGTTGTAGACTGATATTCATTAACTTATATAATCACCTAATTTTAATAACAGCACATGTATTTTGCTTACTTCTTGCCTTACCCTAGAACCTACTGGAGCCCAAGTCTTTGGCAACTGTGAGCTCTGTGGGCCCGGTGGTGATGGTCCCTGTTAGAGCAAGCATAGAGCAAAGTGTCAAACCTTCATATAAAATGGTAAGCATGCATATTAGTCAAATAAAGAAAAATCTTGTATCTGGAAGAGTACACATTTAATTTTTAGGACTTGAAAGACCTGAAGTTACATATTTTCTTCTTCTCATCAGTCTGTGAAGACATACACTCGGAGAGGTCGAGGGAGGTGTCTGAATCCTGGCTGTTCATTTGTCTACGTTACCCGCCACAAGCCACCAACATGCCCCGAGTGTGGGAGCCACTTGGGTGGTAAATGGATACCCGCTGTAAGTGTTAATGAAACCTAAGAAAAAAATATTCACTATTTACTTGTGATTCTAATCAGTTAGTTTTGGCTGCCATTTTCTTAATAGGCAAAAAAGTCACACGAGAAGCAAGCTGCTTCAAGGCAAAAAGCTAAAAAAAAAGCTAATAAAAGCTGTCAAACCACACAACCAACAACTCAGAAGGCAGGTGCTGCTGTCAGCAAAATAAATACTACTGGAGTCAACAAAGAAGGACAAGTTGTGAGGCGCGCCAGAAAGCAGCCTGTTCGTTCAGCTGGATTGCCACAAGAGGGCAGCAGCACCAAACAACCGGCTCAAACAAGGTGCGTGTCATTTCTGCAGATTATTACTGTCTGAGAGTTCACAAGGCCATTAAATCAGATATTAAGTGTGTTCGTTCTTTTAAAGAAGCAAGTTGATTACATCAGCGGTCCCCAACCTTTTTTGCGCCATGGACCGGTTTATGCCCGACAATATTTTCACGGGCCGGCCTTTAAGGTGTCGTGGAAAAATACAACAAAATAAAACTAGTACCGGTACCGAAAAAAGAAGACTTATTCATAACACATGTGAAAAGACGCAGGAAAACCGAGTTAACGATAAAAACTATAACAAAATAACGCTGAAAAACGATAAAAACCCTGAAAACCATACATTTCACACTGAGCCTCAACTCTCGCGGCCCGGTACCAAACGACTCACGGGCCGGTACCGGTCCGAGGCCCGGGGGTTGGGGACCGCTGGATTATGGCTTTT